GACCTGTGTGTACGTCTCCGTATATTCCAAAAATATTCTGTATTTATTGTAATAAAGGTAATATGTCTAACAATGGCGTGCTGTTCCATTCCGTATTGTGGGCAAAAACAGCAAAACATCTAATTACAAAACAAACGGAATCACATTACATCGGTATTTAAATAGCAAATATGTAATTTTTCAGTTTTCGTCCATTATAGCAAAGCTCAAGTTAACTGGTCGATTTGAAGGGAAACAATTGACGACACCCGTCATTTCGAAAATTTCTGGTTATATACTCGACGGTTTCAGCTTATCAACAGCGCGTCTCACGAAAGCGAAGTCGCCGTGTGCAAGCAATGTTAGAAAAATATCCGGAAAAATATGATTTTTTCAAAACGGAAATTTTTCCATGACCCAACACTAGACGTACCTCATGCCGTCAATGGTGCACTTAGCGGCCGCGACAGCAGTCCTGGTCTCGCGTATGTCCTTGGCCAAGTTGGAGGCGCGGAGTGTTACTGTGCTGAGTTCAGCTGAGATCGATTGGTTCTTGGCTTTAAGACTCAGCACTTTGGTCTGTTCTTCTGTGCGCATAGCTTCGAGTTCACGAGTTCTGGTGGAAATGAACATTAATGGTAAGTTAGATTATAATAACTAGGTGGAATATTGGTTCCCTACCTAAGCGCAGAAGGCTTTCTTTTTTTTTTAACACTTCAGCACATTTGGTCCCACAAATATTTTTCTTGCGCGTAAATAATTTTCTTTTTGCACAGTTCTAGAGACAGAGATATATTGATTTGTAAGCATACACGGTAAATACAGTTTACATTTTTAAAATTACACTTATGGTTCAGGGTGTTGCGCCAGTAACTGGCATACAAATGTTAATAGCAAATATTATACATTGTATTACATTATAAAATTAAATTTTGTTCATTAAATAATATAATTAAAGAAAAATTGTGATTTAATAAAAAAGAGGAGCATGTCAAAGTAATAAATATGTAGAGGGTCGCAGGCTTCAAAATTTAAATGTCAAAATCTCATTTAGATTATAAAAACAATTTGTCACAAGCAATTCAAATAGTATTTTCTTAAATCTAGACGTAGGTAACATTTTTATATCGTCAGGTAATACATTATATATAGCAATTCCATTGAAAACATGTACTAGTGAGTATATGTCGGGCCAAACGATAGGGATATCGGATATATTCTGCGCGTTTGCGCGCGCAATTGTTTTACAGAGTTTTTTTTAATTGTTTTACTTCTACGTAAAGTATCGTAGGTCGAAATTGCCAAGTTTACAGGGGAGCCTTTTAAAGTTCTGAATTCACTGATGTAAGCATAACACGTGACTTTAGCAGTTCTCGGTTTTATTTGGCAAAGCTCGTTACTCACATAGAGTATTATAAAATCCTACATATCGGTTAGATGAACAACCACAATTTATTTTATAATTTTGTAGTGGGTCAACAAGCAGGTAAACTAAAGTGAGACTGGGCGGGTCAGGTGACAGTATAAAATATTGTCCGTCTAACCGATATCTAGGATTTTATAATGCTATATTTGAGTAACGTATGATAAAACTGAGATATGCTAAAGTCACATGTTATGTAAATTTTTGAATTTACAGAAATGAGGATATAGGCTTTGAAATGCTCCCCTGTGAACTTGGCAATTTCGACATACGATACTTTATAGAAGAGTCGATTTTTCTTTTCTCACAATTCTACTCATATGCAGGCGCAAAAATATACAATTGCTGTTTTTTTGTTCGTAGAGGACATGATGGGTGATATTTAATTAAATAAATGCGGTGGGTGACGTTTGACCTCAATTATCTAAGGCGGTTCTAGGTTCCATTTCCGGTATGATCAATTTGGGAAATAAGCTTTTCTGGTCTGAGTGTCCTCACACTCATAGAACAGGAAATACTTTAGTTTAAGAGACCAGGTAGTTGGTAAGGTTGTCTGGTACGTTAAATAAACAGTACTTATTGTACATGCAGTCTTCTTATGTAAACCACCAAACTTTTTGGTATGTCTGAGTTTTAGAAAATGGAGTTACAGCGAATATTACCTTTTCTTCTCCCACTCGAGTTGACACTGTCGCTCCATCTCTTTTCTAGCCGCTTCGCGTTTTTCCTTAAAATACAAAAGTAAACTTTTAAGATTTTAAAGAATTTTAAATTATTTTCACATATCGAGTTCTTAGGTTTTCGCGATTGTTACACATAGGAAATGAAACTATTTTTCCGGATTTAAATTCCGGATTTAATAATAAATTAAACATAATAAAAATTCATTCAATAAAATAATTTGTAAAAAGTAATGTAGCGTAAATTGGAATGTTTTCTTTGTAAAATTAAAAATAAGGTATTTAATTAATAACTATTGTAACTATAGTGAAAAAATAGGGTGGTTTGCATTAATATTAGACATAACTGGTTGAAGACTGTACCACCTCAGTCAACCGTGACCATGGGACCTGTAAAGGGCCCGAAACGTCGGTTTGTTTGAAAAAAAACAAATATACGCGATTTAAATCCGGAAAAATAGTTTCATTTCCTATATTTTCACATAATTTAAGTTTTGTAATTGTAAAAAAAAAAACTTAATTTTTATACGGAAAATAATTAAAATCAATTATAAGAAATTCTTAATAATAAGAATTGGAGCAGTATGTGACTGAATTACAATAAATTTCTGTGTAACATTTTAAGCGAATGTTTTAATTTTGAACTTAAGTAACCTCCTTGCTTGAAGTTGAACCTGACCTATGTAAAGAGGTATCCTCATCATCACCATCATCTTAGCCAAAAGACGTCCACTGCTGAACATAGGTATGTCGTGCTACAAATAAAAAAAAACCCTAACAGACCATGTCCATAATAGAAAGAAAAAAAGGCCGAGGGTTTTATTTGGGGCATTAGAATCGAGTTAGCCACCATGCAATCATATTATTTACGAGTATGATGATTTTATTTTCCTTTCGTTTCTTGTGAAAGAGTGCGTCCAGGGACGTACAGCCACAATACTGTCTTTATCATATCAAGTGACGGGACGATCAAGTCGTGCGCCTGGTGGTAAGTGACACGCCTGTCCATAACAGTTGCAGTGTCCCTCAGAGGTTTCCATCGCAAAGATCTGAGGGGCACACAGATCACTGCCACTGCGCCTGTCACCTTGAGACTTAAGTTGACAAGTCCCATGAGCATGTACTTTCACCAGCACCATTCAAAGCCGAAACGCAGTAATACTCAAATTACTGCTTCATCATCATCATGTAGTCGTCAGCTTGAAGAACTCTTCCCTGTCCTGAGCCAAGCGAAACAGATGTTCTACGCTGGCAATATTCGTCAATTCCCGGATGTTGCTCACGACTTCTTCCTTCTTCCAAAACGTCGTTTATTCTCGATCTTGCCCATAATTATCTATCAGTTGGAGAGGTCGGTACGTTTCATATCGTAGAACGTGTCCAAGATACGCAACTTTCCTTTTCTTGACGGTCTGCAAGAGTTCTCGGTCCCTTCCAACGCGCTGAAGAACTGTCACATTGTGACCTTGCTAATGCGTAGCATTCTACGGTAACACCACATCTCGAAGCCCTCAAGATGCCTCTGGGTGTTTTTTAGAGTCAAACATTACTGCTTAGCGGCTGTAATAGATATTTTACATTTAGTAGCAGGCAGCTGCTACTAAATGTACCTTACCTATTTCTGCTGCCATGCAGTAATGTGGTCACTACTGCGTTCCGATTTTGAAGCTAGTGAAATTACAGGCATGTGGGACTTGTCAACTTATGTCTCAGGGCGACTGGCACAATGGTAGTGCTTCTTATAATCAGGCGCGTGACTTGTCTGTCCCGTTACTTTATATCATAAAAAAAAATTATTACATACCAGTTCCTCCTTTTGTTTTCGGGCCAGCTCCTCCTGCTCTCTCTTCTGCGCTTCGAGTCGAAGTTTCTCTCTTTTATCGGCTTCTTCTCGCTCTTTGCGTTCTCTCTCAGCCTGTCAAATGTTCAACCCAATAACATTTTTTTTAAACGCACACACTCAACATAGCCCCGCACTAGGGAAACCCTGTGTCGCGGGTGCCATGTACACACACATAGACTCAATTACACCCAAACTCACGAGAGAAATAATATGTAGGCCATACAACTATTTCTCCCGGCTCGGGAATCGACCTGGGACCTCTGCGTGGCAGTCCGGCATGGTAACCGTTCGGCCACGGAGGCAGTTATTATAAGGTTGTAATATAAAGTTCATTGAATATTACTACGATTAACCATATTATTATTTTTTTAATTTTCCTCACTATTTTTTTATAATTATTAATACAAAGGTTACGCAAACACAAAAATTCCTTCGATCCGGCCGGATTCGATCCAACGTCTTCTAGCATACCGTGCTAGACGCTATACCAACTAAGCCACGGAACGAACCAGTGGACATCACGAATTTTTCTATGTGCTTGTTGTTGGATCTTTGTATTTGGTTTTTCAACGACCTCTTAGCCGTAGCGCCATTTTAGAGAAATCTATGAAAGTATTTCGTCACCCAGTTAAGTAACTTTACAGCTAACGATACACATACTACAGGATGTATCACCAGCATGATATTCAATTATTTTTTGTGAAATTACTCCACTAATTTGTTATAATCAGAAATTTTTTGTTGATCCAGTGGGACTTGTACCCACAACCATGCTGCACCGCAGCATTGCTCTAACCAACTGAGCCAAGAGAAGGTTAATCAAAAATCTCTCACCAGATGTCACTTAGCGATGCGCGATTGAGAATTAATTCAACATTCGACTCGTTAGTAATCGCTAATCCTGACATTCGAATGTCAAATTAATAACCTTTTTTTTTTTACTAATTTTCGTATTCGAATGACACTAATATTAAATTCAATATTTATTATTTATTATATTTCCAGTTAATTCCTTTGTTCATTATGAAATATATTAAAAGCTTTTATTTTAACAACTCTTGCAACGAATAGAAGCCTTTTAATAGTAAAAATTCTTAAATGTTTAAATTTTTCAGTCTTTATATGTTCTGGTATTTTATTATAAGTTTTTACCGCCATTGCAAAGGGATCAGTGCGAATTAAATTTAATTTAAAAGTCATTTTTGAAGAATTTTTCATCAGATACGAAAATCTCAATAAATAATTTGTTATAATTAGACTAGACTATCGAGTTCATAGGTTTTCGTGATTGTTACACATAGGAAATGAAACTATTTTTCCTATAGACTAGATTTCTCACAGATGATAGAATACCAAGAACAAAGATCTGTAACAAGAAGATAGAAAAGTTCGTAAGGTCTGCTCGGTCGTTCCGTAGTTCAGTTGCGAGAGCGTTAACTACGGTATGGTGAAGGCGCTGGTTCGAATCCGGCCGAATCGAAGGAATTTTTCTGTTGACCTTTCTATTAAAAATGTTTTTAATAGTATAACGTAAGCATTAAAATGTAACTAAATGAAATTTTAAAAGTTTTATACATTATTAATGTAAGTCAAGTGCATTTTCAGTAATTTTTTACTATTGTAATTTGCATTCTATATCGACTAAAATGTCTGTAATAAATAAGTAAAAAGAAAACTATAAAATATACAAGGTGTTTGTTTACCTCAGCTTCCTAGGATGCATAGAAGAAATGATAAATTGATTACATTTTATTTGAAAAATAACTATACTTTCAATCCATTTTGAACAAAAAGTAAACAAACAAGTCACTGACCCGACCATAGACGGTTTAGTGGTGGCCAATTGCAACGCCAACTACTCATCGATTAAATAATTGAATGAATCGATTTGTTCAATTGAGTGATACTATAGTCCATTTGTTTAGGTACTTAAATAAATGTAAACAATCTTGATACATCTTTTTATTGAAACACATGCTTTACAAATCAATAGGTATAAAAATAGACACGCAATTTCATATGAAGCTAAGTATTTGTATTTTATATTTGAAGGTAAGGGAAAATCATTTTATAAATGTATATTTCATTAAATAGACATCTCAAGATTGTTTACATTTATTTAAGTACCTAAACAGATGGACTATAGCGGGTTTCCTTACATAACCTATATAAGCATATTTAAAATTTCAATTTAAATCCTTCAAATCCTTACACTTGGACACTCGTTCGATTGCGATTGAAATGTTCGATGTAATAATCGATTACTAAACTTTAATTGATTGAACCGAATGTTTTTTTCGAACAGCACTTTGCACCCATAGGCAAGTCATAGAAGTATAGATGAATAATAACCTCACTTTTGGACTACCATTTTTCAAATTCGATTTCACGATGCTTTTCAAATGAATATCGTTGGAAAAAGTAATGATATATCAAGTCGAAATATTCGTGACTGTTACTTACTCGATTTATTGAGTGATTGCTTTAGAATTTTAACCAAACAGGTTTGTTCACTTTTTGTTCAAAATGAATTGGAACAGACTATATAACTTTTTTATAAAAGAAACCGGATCCCTTAGTTTGCCACCCTTAGAGGTGGAATGTTTTCTGATTTAAATGGGACCAGTAATGAGGTATCCTCTTTCCAACAAAAGAGAATCATCAAATTCACACAAAAAAATAATACAGTCTAATGAGAACACCTCCCTTTTTAAGTCGGTTATAAAAGTCAGTACATTAATTACATAAGTTAAATATAAATTAGGTATTAGTCGATATCATCACCCCATTATACGTCCCACTGCTAGGCATGGGGTGAGCCCCGCTGACCCAAGGGCTGCTGCTAGTCTTCTTCCTCATATAGGAACATCCACAAGTGAACGTAATTTCGAAATTTAAGCTATAGGTTCATGCCACCATAGGATTCGAACCGTGGACCTCTGAATAGAGCAGCAACTGCTCTCCCGCTGAGTTAAGACCTAGAGTTGTGTGAGCGTGTGTGAGTGTGGGTGAGCATGTGTGTGAGAGCGTGTGAGACTGTGAGCATGTGTGTGAGAGCGTGTGAGACTGTGAGCGTGTGTCAGCGCATGTGTGTGAGTGAGCGTGTGTGAGATTGTGTCAGTGAGATTGTGTGAGAGCGTGTGAGTGTCTGAGACTGAGTGTGAGTGTGAAATTGTGTGAGCGCGCGTGAGTGTCTGAGACTGAATGTGAGCGTGACTGTATATGAGAGTGTGGGAACGTATGTATGTGAATGTGTGTGCGCGACATTATGAGAAAGTGCGTGTTAAGTAAGACAATAAACGTTCCACCTATTACCTTTTCCTTTAACTGGGCGTCGGCTAACTGCGACCTTCGTCTCTCCAGCTCCGCCTGTCCACGGGCCATGTTCTCGCGACGCCTCTCCTCGTAAGATTTGTTGCTGCCCGTCGAAGTCAGTGACGTCACCGAGTCACGCCTGGAACATTATAATTAGGGAGTCATCACACGTCCCGACACGGTATCGCAGCAAGCTGTACAGAAAAATCTTCACGTCCATGCAATAAGAGCGAAAATGACGTTGTGCTTTCCGCGTTGGCGATCAGAACGGAAACGAAACGACCAACGTCTTTTGTCCCTCTTTTTTTGTGGTGGTAAGCTACACGCCTGTTTATAACAGTTGCAGTGCCACTCACAACTTTAAGTCGCAAAGATCTGAGGGGCACTGCCACTGCGCCTGTCACCCTGAGACAAGTTGACAAGTTCCACGTACCTGTAATCTCACCAGCACCTTTACCCTTCAAAACCGGAACGCAGTAATGCTCACATTACTGCCTGGCGCCAGAAATAGTTAAGGTGGCAGTACTTCCCTGGGCGAACTCTTTCACAAGGAGCTCTCCTGCTACTAAATTATATAAATACATACGTATTGTATTATCTTACCTGAATGTGGGCGGGATCAACTCCAGAGGCAGTTTAGCGGGAGGAGCTTCGCCTTGAGTTGCTTTCTCGCACAGATACATGGCTAGTACGAATTCTTCACAGCCTGAGAAAAAGACGAAAGCGTTAGACCGTCCGCTGTTTGACTCGGGTCCAGGGTTACGCCAATTAAGGCAATGACCTTGGTGGCATACTGGTTGACACTATTGGCACTTGATTATAATAATAATATTATGTTTATTTTCATTTTTTTTGCTTCAACATAAATATAAAGTAAGGTTACAATACAAAACGAGATCCCTGACTCTATTTCAATTAGAATAAAAAGAAAAAAGAGGAAAGATAATAATAGCAAAATTATTCAAAGAAATAGTACTAATAAATATGATTTAATGGTGAGTGTGGTAATCCATGTGTGATTGTGTGCGCGGGCGTGCGTGCGTGCGTGCGGCCGTGCGGGCGTGCGTGCGTGCGTGCGTACGTGCGTGCGTGCGTGCGTGTGTGTGTGTGATTAGGAGGTTTTGGGATTGTATTCCGATAGAAATTTAGCCAAAAACTTGTTTTAATTACAATGATAATAATTACGCACGCGTTAATAGCCCCGCACTAAGGTAACCCTGTATCGTGGGTGCCATGGACAAACACATAGACAACCACAAATTACACGTAACCTCCCGAGAGAAATAAATAGGGGCCATACAAATATTTCTCCCGGCCCGGGTATCGAACCCGGGACCTCTTAGTGGCAGTCCAGAAAAAACTGTCCGTTTTGCCATTTTGCCAATCTAGGGCCCCCGCTCTACCAACTGAGCTACAGATCGATAAATAAAAACAATAGTACATTGTGTACATTGGCGCTAAATAAAAAAATACTTACGAGAGATTATAGATACATACAATGACTTTTCACATGTGCGTAGAAATAGATACACGATAATTAATTACTTGTGCGAATAAATATCGCTTCACAAGATAACATTTACGGATTTTGCAAATGGCGGGCTTATTATTTTTTTTAAAGAGATTGCCAGTTATTCTTCTATAGATGACACAGATGCATGCAGCCACAATGATTAGATATAAACTAAATAACTTCCAAATTCTAAAAATATTACAGAATTTGAATTCATAAAAGGAAATTAGTAAAATAAAGTTAAATTGCAATGTTTAGCTTTATTATAACTTCAAGTTTATCTGAAACATACGTTCAAATTTTTCTACCATAAATAGCTATTTGTTATGCAAGGCTGCAAAGGTGTTTTTCACGCGAATGCTTGTACTGAAACCTCAGCGAGCAAAAGAACCTAAGATTAAAGATTAAGATTAAGAACAACGAGTAAAGCGAGTGGTTCAAAAATATAATCCTGAGCGTAGCGAGGGTTTCAAGACACGAGACGCAAAAAAACTTTGATGCCGAGCGAAACACACAACTTTTCACCTCACTATAGCGAGGAAAATGGTAGATGAAAGAAAAACAGTTGAACTTATAACAAATCAGTTTTAATAAACAAAATGAGTTATCGTTGTCAATTTAATGTCAACAATAATAAGAATAAAATATACCAACGGATTTATATTACATAAATAATGTACGACAAATCGAGTAGTTGAATATGTCATTATGTTTTTTTTTTATCGAAAGAAAAAGTGCACCACAGTCCATCGTCAAGTTCGAATTTCAAAAGCTTTTCCACGCTAGCGTAGAAAAACGCTTTTGCGCGCAGATTTCTAATGAGAAAGAGCCGTTCCGAGCTAGTGAGGTGAAGTGTATAACGAAAACGAGCAAGTGTGATGAAAATGTATTTTAACGTACCCAGCTTCCCATCAGAGTCAAGGTCTGCCAATGCCCATATCTGCGCCAGGGTCTGCTGCGGAAGACGCGACTGCAGCATGATGGAACGAGCTTGCACCCCCGACACAGAGCCCGTCTTCGTGCGGTCAGTAGCGTTGAACAGTTGCGTGTATCTGATGGAAAGTATTACATCGTTGAGCACGCGTCTCAAGTAGGAAGAGCAAGTAACTTAATTAAGCTAATATTATAATTATTAAAGATCAAACACTCAGAAAAAATTCCTTCGATCCGGCCGGATTTGAACCGACGTCTTCTAGCATACCGTGTCAGACGCCACAGAACGAACCAGCGGACCTCACGAATTTTTCTATGTGCTTGTTGTCGTGTCTTTGTATTTGGGTTTTCAACGACTTTTGAGCCGTAGCGCCATCTATGAGAGAAATCTATGAAAGCATTTCGTCACCCAGTTAGATACCTTTACAGCTACCAGCCCCGGCTAGAGATGTCGCTATTCACTGTATTTAATTTTTTATTGAATTGATATTCAATTATTTTTCATGTTGAACTGGACCCGTGGCTCAGATAGATAGATCCATGTTACGGTGCAGCATGGTCGTGGATTCAAGTCCCACCTGGTCAACGAACATTTTTGGTGGTGGCTAGTGACTGTAGTTGTGCATGCGTTATATATTTTATTAATTTTATGCTGATGGAGAGTGGGATAATTAACTGCATGAAAAAATATTCAACACACGCGCAGCTATTTTGCACGATTTAATCATCACTGGGTTCGCGGAGTAGCAAAATTTTAAATTTGTTCAAACTCAAACCCAAATATGTAGTAGGTACGTAATAGTACTTAGTAGGTACGTAATAGTACTTAGTGGGTACGTAATAGTACTTAGTAGGAACTTACTATAAAAAAATATATTGTATTGCAATTTAAGTATATTTTATTAACCCTTTTAATAATAAATGCTATGTACACCGTAATTGTCATTATATATTAGATGTAATACCCTATCTATGTTGAATGTTTAAATGCTGTAATATATATGATGTGGTAGTACTTAACAAATAAATAAAAAAATAAGTAGCAAATTAATTTACTTCCATTTTTATTAACTTCGATCCGGCGGCATTTGTACCAACGTCTCCCGGCAAACCGTGAAAGATGCTATGCCAACTAAGCCACGGAACGAACCAACGCATCTCTCGAATTTTTTCATGTGCATGTTGCAGATCTTTATTTTTGGTTTGTAACGATTTTTTTTGCCGTATCGCCATCTGTGAGAAATCTATTAAAATTTTTCGTCACCAGAGAGGTAACTTTGCAGCTACCAGTCGCTGACTAAAGATGTTACTGTCATAATTGTATTCATTTATTCATTTATTCATTTATTCATTTACATTACACTGTGCAATAAACATTAATCATTACAGAGTACCTGAGTCCAATTCGATTATGTCATGTCACAATTTTAATTAAGGCATTATTACTAAATCATATAAAACTATATTGAACATATTTTGTTAAATTAAATTATTATATTAAAAATGTCAGTAGCTTACAAATTAAAAACACTAAAAAAATTTACTCACACTTAACCTATCTTACAAATAACGTCTCGGGCAACCTCTGCGAACTTCGACAGTGAGCAACAAAATATGTCAATTTCTTTATTAATGTCATTAAGTAATCGTAAAGCGGTTACAAGCGGCGCATGCTTCAGCACATTTGTTCTGCACGGCGGCAGTGCAAGAGTCTGTTGTCGCAAGGAGCTGCGTAGGCGTATGTTTGGCACGAGGAGTCCTATAGCCTCTAGTATTTGCGGGTTGCACAGAAAGCCGCGATAAACCTTAAAAACATACGTGACGAGAGCCAGGTTCCTTCGAGTCTCGAGTTTATAATATCCAACCATTCCTAGGACAAATGCGGTTGGATACATATTAGGGAACCTGGGATAGACTTTATATGTCCTAAAATACGCAAGCCTTAAAAACTTATTTTGTATTTTCTCGACCATGAGGTTATACTTATTTTCGTGGGGATTCCATATTATGGAGCTACTTTCTAGTCGACTTCTTACAAGTGCATTATATAAAATTTTTAATGTCTCTACCCTTTTAAAACTACTAGTCTGTCTCTGTATAAATCCTAAACTACGATACGCTTTCTTACAAACTTTCGTGATGTGCTCATGAAATGTCAACTCTTTTGAAATATGAAGTCCCAAATCGCGTACTGAATTTATCCTATTCATGATCTCTCCGTCAATCTTATACTCGTATAAGTATGGATTATGTGCTCGAGTGTAAGACATTAAATTGCACTTATTGGTGTTAAAGGACAATTTGTTTTTTAGGCTCCATTCGGTGACCCTATCTACGTCTTCCTGTAAACGTCTGCAGTCCTCTAAATTGTTAACTGCTGTATACAGCTTGAGGTCATCTGCAAACAACAAACAGCCCGAGTTTTTCACCACCCTTGGCAAGTCGTTGATCATGAGAATGAACTCTAATGGACCCAAATTACTACCCTGACTTACCCCTGATGGCGTCAAAAACGCTTCTGATGTGTGCCCCCCATAGTCTACATACTGTTTTCGATTTCTTAAGTAGCTAGAGAAAAAATTAAGCAAAGCTGTTGTGAATCCAGCGGACGCTAACTTGGCCAGCAATATGTCGTTATTGACCGTATCAAAAGCTTTGCGGAAATCAAAGTACGCCACATCCACCTGACCACCCACACGTGCATCTAAAGCTGTGCTCGCGTAGTGCATGAAGCATAATTGATTGGAGTGCGTACCTCGACCTGGTCGGAATCCATGCTGTGAGTCTGTTAAGTATGGATCTATTTGCGTGAAGATCTTATTGTAGAGTATGGACTCGAACACTTTGGCGAAGGTGGATAGTACAGCCACTGGTCTATAGTCCGATACGTCTGTGCTGGTCCCACTCTTCGGTACCGGGGTAACACGAGTAATTTTCCATTGCTCGGGGTACACACTCTTGCGCAGACAAATATTAAATAAGTGTAGAAGGGGGTGGGCTAAGACCGACGCGCAGTCTCTGACTACGTATGGCGGTATTCCGTCTGGTCCCACCGATTTTTTGGGTTTGAGACATTTTAGGGCTTTTTTGGACGTCTTGCAAAGAAAGACAAGCGATGTGAACGCGCTCGGCCGTCGCCGCTCCACCGACCGCTGCGGCCGCGGCTTCTGCATCAAGTAAGGGGGTATCGGAATCGTAAATCGAATGGAAATATTCAGCAAAGGCCCTAGCACTCTGAGAGTCGTCTAATAATGAACCGTTTTTTGTGACACGCGGCTTACCTCGACTCGATCGTTTATTTTTAATATAGGACCAGAAAGATTTTGGGTCTTTAATAATTTCGTTCTCTATCCGAGTTCTATAATTTTTGTATGCTATTTCTATTTTTCTCTTGACCAGTGCTCTATAGTAAGAAAATAACCTATAATTTTCTTGTGTTCCGTTTGTTTTGTACGCTCTGTGGTATTTAGCCTTCTCTCTTATATCCTGAATAACTTCAGCGGTGTACCACTCTGGGTAAGAACGCGTTCTATTTTTTAAAGACCGTTGTTGCGGTGTGCAACTGCTGATCACTTCATTCAATTTTGCGTAAAATAAATGGACTGCTTCGTCTACGTTTTTTATTTTATATAGAGAGCGCCAATCAATTGCACTTATTGACTCATATAATATTTGGAAATTGCATTTGTAGAAGTTCCATTTTTTATTATATTTATTTTTGTTTCGTCCGTCAACACCAGAAACATAAGGAAATGGCTCACGACGCTGTATATTTCCATATCTCGCTTCAGTACAACATACGCTCAATGGAGGGTGATACGGGTCGAGTGGTACCAAGTGATCAAATTCTGCACATACCTGTATCTGATATGTATGTAGATTTGACAGCACTACGTCCAAGACACGATTAATATTGTTAGTGATTTCATTATACTGTTGAAATTCGCAGACAGTTTTAAAAAATTCGTAATAACATTGCATTTCCAGGCTCGCTGAGTACATATTAAGATCACCAATCAAAATTAAACTTTTATATTTTATACAACATTGTTCTAATATGTAAAATAGGCTCATATAGTCGCTGTCTTTACTTTGTGGTGGGATGTATACTACACAGCAAGTGAACAATCTTTTCGTTTCCTTATATATATCTACGCACAATACCTCAAAGACGGCTGAGTCAACATCGGGAGCGCTGGGCAACGGCAGCGGCTGCAGACGCAGCGTGGGCACGCCCACCAGCATGGCACCCCCATGCTTGCGCCCGTCCGCGCGGTCGCATCGCACTACGCTGTATCCCCGCGGGGCCAGTTCCCCGTCATGGATAGATTCATTTAAACCACTCTCAGTTATTGCCCATAAATCCGCCGAGGATGTGCAAATATTGTTATAAAACGTTGTCAGTTTAGTCCGAAGCCCTCGAGTATTTTGGTAGTAAAGCTTTATATTTAAACCTTGTAGTTTTTTATTTTTGTGGACACTGTTTAATCTATTAGTCACGAAAAAAAACATCTGTTTGTGTAGATATGCTCTTCACGTCTTTACTACTATTTTTATTTGTGGTAGAATGTATAGGAATAGTATAATCTAGCAACATAATATCCAGTACAAGCCATCTGCATGAATTCGATCTGTCCAATTGACTGTTACTGTAAAAACTTAATTTTGAGAAATGCAAATTTTCCATGTGTAAACTTATTGTCTCAATCAATTTATTTAATTTAAATTTATTAATATTTTTGTTACGATTGATTTCCCCATATATAACATTCGTATTTTTAAATGCGCTAATACAATTATATAAAGCAGATTGAAATTTAATTATATTATGGTCATGTGAGCCAGCCAATATAATCACATAATCATTCTTTGTGAACTTTTCACCGTCTGACAAACTGCTTAGTACAATTTGTTCTAAAGTCGCGTTTGGTTTTATAGTCGCGGTTACATGATATTTGTTACCGAGAATTCTCTGAAGCCGCCCACGTAGATGTCTGCCTGTCTCGTCGGCGAGCACAAGTATGTTGTGTCTTGTTGAGTCTTCCATAATTTGCGTTCGATGTGGCTTCTGCTGTATGTTCCCATTATATTCCATACAATTTGGTATTTTGGGAGTGTTTTCAATGTCCTTGTCGTTATTCAGAGTTATTTCAGTTCTGGGGGGGCTCTCCAGTGCGTTGAGGCCTTCGTCATTTATTGGCTCTACACAGGGTTTTGGTGTCGAAGTGAACGTAGCTGTTTTGCTGAGTCGATTTCTATTTTTTTTGGTCGATGTAGATGGGGACTTGCATATTTCTTCTAAGCAACGTACTTTTTGTTCATACTCCATAATAATTTTCTTAAGTGCCGAATTTTCCAATAATAAATTATCTATCTCTTGCTCAGCGCTACCTAATTTATTCTCTAGAGTGTTAATTATCTCGTTCTTCTCTTCCACGTCATATTTTGTACTTAATTTACGTTCGGGGCAACTGCGATTTAAATTACTTTCTTTTAGAGTTATCGAAGAGCTACTCATTACTTCCTCATCCGACAATGTTTGAAAGGAGTTTTCAGTACATATATTTATAGCATATTTCCTCACGGTCACCTTGTCCCTATCTTCCTTTGTGATATATTTATTGATCTCTATTTCGCTCGCGTCATCTAGGGGTGTCACAGTCGAGTTAGTAGGTTGGGGTTCCGTACATCTTTGCGACGTTAAAGGTGATGGTGTATCGCGTTTTGCCTCCAACTTCATACAGGTAGGACAACGCCACTTGTCTTTAGTTTTAGACGTCATTAACCTGAACATCTGTTCACTCAGGTTTTTTAAGCATAAAACATCATAGTGTTTTGTGCAAATAGTGCACTTAAGGTATTCTCTGTTTGTAATTTGCTTTTTACAAACCGTGCAGCTTTGCTTAATGTTGGTTCTAGGTGCCATTCTCACAGATTTTGTTCAGTATTGGTTTATTATTTCTGGTAATCTACAGGTGATGTCATCTAGTGTCAATATTAGTAACTACTAAGTGTGGAGATCTATGCACCTCTATTTGGCGACGTATTTTTTATTGATGTCGCTAGATGGGGTGTTGTTATACAGGTGTTGCCCTCTAGCGTCGAGTAGCGGTAAATAGTTAAGGCCCATTTAGATGGAGAGAGTTTCTCGTCTCGAAGATGCGATTATCGAAAGAATATAAAAAAACTTTCCTCGTCTAAACATTTGCGATTATCGACCGTCCACGTGAGCGATAATCTCCTCGCCTTTCAATATTGAACGTCTCCGTGTAAACAGAACTCGAAAGCAAAAATCGTATTTCGAGTTTCTGTGCCAGCCGTTTCTACCACGAGTGCAGCGCGTGAGGGTGTTTTGATTATCACTGCTTTTCTAAGACAAGAATTAATGGAACAAGAGCGATAAAAAAATTTCAAATAACGGTGAGTGAGTGAGTGCCCTCTGTGGTCGAATATAGCGTGGGCAATATAGTATTTAGGGTGCTCTCATAACGAATATTGCACTCCTTTCTAAATCCAAGATGGCCGACACGACTTTTCAAGTAAATGTACTTTACAATAAACACTCCTCACTCACTCGCCACTCACTCCCTACTCACTCACTCACTCACTCACTCGATCACCACCCACCATACACTCACTCCCTACTCGCTCACTCACTCACTCACTCACTCGCTCACCACCCGCCATACACTCACTCACCACTCACTAACTCACTCTCTCACTCACTCACTCACCACTCACTCACCACTCACTCACCACTCACTCACCACTCACACACGCACGCACGCACGCACGCACGCACGCACGCACGCACGCACTCACTCAGTCACTCACGCACTCACTCACGCACTCACTCGCCCTATAAATTTATCATAATTGTCAGTTTTTGTTTGTGTCAGTAGTTATAAAATTAAAAAAAAATGATAAATCAAAATTATATTTCTATACAGTGCAATGAACTTAATATTATCAGCAGTTTCAAATTTGAATGGTTTTTGCATCATTTTGATATATCCATAGTCACACCGCAGTAATCACAGAACTCGAATGGCAATTCTCGTATTCAAAACGGTTCGAACCGATTTGTACGATAATCGTATGAACTTGAAAAAATGTCATACGAGATCGTGTTTAGACAAGTCGAAAACTCGTAAGCAAGAATCTCCTTACTTCATATTTCTCCGTGTAAACAGTCGAGGAGGCGATTAAGTTGCTTACGAGTCTCGTATGACATAATCGTAGGCGAGATTTTAGTTCTTGCCTGAATGTAAACATTATGATACGATAATCTTATGGCGATTATTGCTTACGAGAATCGCATACGAGTTTTCATCACGAAGCGTGCGAGAAACTCTCTCCATCTAAATGGGCCTTTAGGTATAATGTTCTATGTGCTCTACGTGCTTCTATTCGGGGTCCAAAGGTCAATTAGTAGTTTATTCAAACAAATGTTCGTTATTAACCTTAGATTTAAAAATTTAAGCACTAAGTCTCGTAGTTGTCACTTGTTGTTGTCAAAGCACTTCACAAACACTTCCCACCGTTTATTGTTGCTAGCTTTATAGCGTCGATTTGTATTTGTTACCTTGGTACGAGTACAAATATTTATCACTGTTTATTTTTCGTTATAAAGGACAGTTTTTATCACCAACATTTATTGTTCATATTTGCAGTACCGACTAATATTTTGGGACACTTTTCACTATAAACTGGTAATTTTTAACATTTTTATTAAAATTAGCAATGAATCTTTTGTTTACACCAGGTGGCGCCCTCTAGCGAATTTTTGTAATTAAGTTTTTTATTGATTGTCAGGAAGTTTTATCAAAATGACATTCAATTATTATTATTATTATTATTATTATTATGAAAGGTTAGTTATTTATTCAGTTCAGGCCACATGACCCTTATTATATATACCTTAAGGACTAACATACATATAATATAATAAAACACTACTTCTAACTAATCTACACGAATTGCACTTGTCGGCGACGTGTGACGTGTAATCTGGCGTCAGGTAACCGCCGATATAAGACACCCTTCGGTCAAAATTCTTCCTTCATGAAGGTCGACAGATGTTCGGTCGGTAGTCTCACCACAAACGAATTGAAATTCACATTGTGGCGGCACTTAAATGTGTGCTGTTGCCTATTATACACGTATCGCATAAACATGTATGTGTATGTGAAAATATCTACTTACTTCAATTTCTGAGGCTGAGGGATACCCCATTCCACATTAGGAGGAGGGCTCACAACTCCCAAGGGCATGTCTATCGGGCTGGTTACCACTGACGCTGAAAAATATAATAATCAATAGGTAGGACTTCTGCGACGTGGTGCTTCCAGGTCAATACGACCTCATGGTATAACGGTTTGCATTGCAAGCGCTGGGCGAGGAGATCCTCAATAATTTTGAGAGATAACATATGTTGTTGTTATATTTAAATTTTCATTGAATTAATATTCAATTATCTTTATGTGAAATTACTCCACTAGTTTGTTATAATTATTAATACAAAGATCGAACACTCAGAAAAAAATCCTTCGATCCGGTCAGATAAACCGACGTCTTCTAGCATACCGGGCCAGACGCTATACAAACTAAGCCACGGAACGAACCAGCGAACATCACGAATTTTTCTATGTGCTTGCTTCGTATCTTTGTATTTGGTTTTTCAACGACTTTTTAGCCGTAGCGCCATCTATGAGAAATCTATGACAACATGTGATTCAACAATCACCAGGTGACTAGTTCGTTCAGCAGAGAAAAAGCTTTTCACGGCGGCTCTTTAATTCTTATTAAAAATAATTTAAAATTTAAAGAACGTACAGATATTGTGGAGCTATCTATTGAGCGGACTATAGAGATATCCTGCATAGAGCTTAAACGGCTTATTATATTAAGCGTGTACAGACCCCTCATTCATCTTACGAACTATTTGAAAAAAGATTAGATGAAGTTTTAGGCAAATTAAATAATCCAAATAAATATATTGCTGTTTGTGGTGACTTCAATTTTAAGTTATTAGAAAATTCCAGTGCTAGCAGTAGGCTCATATCATTTTTCCAATGTTATAATCTTGTGAATCTTTTCTTGGTGCCTACTTGAATAACTTCTACTACAGCCACTTGTTTAGACAACATTTATACTAACGCCGTACCTAGTAACAAATCTATTATAAATAAATTAACTTCTGATCACTGCGGTCAATTGGCCACTTTTAATATAACTGTTGACAAAATGCCAAAAAAGGATATCACATGTGTTCCGATAAATAATGGTCGACTTAAAGCTTATAGAAATAACGTAATGCTTAAACTAACAAATGTTCCGTACGTTAACGATCCCAATAAATTGTATAATTCAGTTTTCAAAACAGTGAAAAGTGAACGTGATAATGTGTTTAAGTCCAAAATCATGACTATCAATAATTAATTAAAATTTAGTGATTGGGCGACTGTGGGAATTCACAAAAGTAGACAAAGGCTATATGATCTTTACTATGAAAGGACCTATAACACTAGTAACAGTTTTAATGATTGGTACGAGATCATCAGGGTCTGCAATTAGCATGGGTGTCCCTCAAGGTTCAATTCTAGGCCCATTTTTGTTTTTAGTTTATATTAATGACTTACCTAGCCTTATGGAGGGTATAAAACATGAGATAGTATTGTTTGCTGATGATACTTCCTTGTTATTTAAAGTTCAAAGGCACCAATGTTCCTACGACGATGTGAACAATGCTATATCTAAAGTAGTTGATTGGTTTGCTGTTAATAACCTACTCCTTAATGAGAAAAAAAAACAAATTGTGTGAAATTTACATTACCCAATGTTAGAGAGACGGTTACAAACATTGTAGTTAGAAACGAAATATTGAACCTTGTGGAAACAGTTGTATTTCTAGGTATAACACAAGATGTTAAATTGCAATGAGGTCCCCGTATAAGTAAGTTATCAAAACGGCTCGGCTCTGCAGTGTACGCGTTTTGTATGAATTTTATGCGATAACTGGCATTTGTGAAGCGATTTTGATGATTTTTTTCGTTTGAAAGAGGGTACCTCAGTAGTGGTCCCATTTAAATTTGGAGAAAATATTCTACCTAAGTTGACAAGCCCCACGTGCCTGTAATTTCATCAGCACCTTTACCCGTCAAAACCGGAACGCAGTAATGTTTACATTACTGCTCGGCGGCATAAATAGGTAAAGTGGCAGTACTTCCCTGGACAAACTCCTTCATAACGAGCTCCACAGCAACTCAAGTTGTAGCCAAACATAATTGACTACTACAAAAAAATACAAAAAAAAAATCTTACCTGGTTTAGACACCGTCTCGCTCTTCACGGCAGTTATAGGCGTCGATGTTACGGGCTGACTGGGAACAGAACCGGCTGCGATTCCTTGTGGGGGACTACTGACCAATGAGCCTACTACGCTCTGTTGTGATGATGGTATCATTGTAGTCGGACTCACTAATGCTGGAGGAGGTTTTGCCGTTACTGGTCCAGGTATAAGAGGTTGACTTCCAACCAATGGCTGAGTTAGTGGTTGTACACCAATCAATGGCTGATTTGGAATCATCGGTGGTCCACCAATCATGGTCGAGTTGAGATTTTGCGCCAATGGTGGTTGACCAATCAGCGGTTGGGATAATGGTACTGGTGGAGCCCCTAATGGGGGAACTAGTGGTTGCTGACCCGATGGTGGTACAGGTTGACCAAGTATTGGTGGAATGGTTTGAGCGGTGGGTGGTTTAACGCCAGAAATGAGATCCGGTATGGTACTTGTTGGTAGTGGTTTGGTGGGAGGTAGTAGTGGAACACTGGGAGTGGGAGACACGATTGGGGTAGTCGTTTGGTTAGCTGGTGGTGATCCGCCAATTAAATCGCCGAGCAGATTGGCCTGTAACAAATTATCCTTAGTTGGTAGAATTCTTGCCATAGTATTTCTTGTAACATTTCTATGGTTCATAGTGGCTACATGCTCGAAGCTAAGTCCAAACTCATGGTACCACGATTTCGTTCAACCAAAATAAACGACTCTTATGGGGAACTGTATGCGTTTTTACAATAAGATTCCGGAGCATATATTAAGATTATCATTTCCTAAGTTTAAAAACTTCATTAAAAATATTTTGATTGAAAAGTTATATTACAAAGTTGAAGATTACGTGCAAGATAAAGATGTATGGAAAGACGACACGGTTCCAGAATCCACACAAACTTGATTCAAAGTGTAATTTTAAGTTTATTTGAAAAGAGCAATCCCTAGTGTTTCTTGCTCGTTCTTCTCAGGGAGGTCAGCGTAGTGAACGAGCAGTAGCTTAAATGTGATGTTTTCAAGTGTAAATTTATTTTACCTATGGAATAAACTTTGACTTTGACTTATGGTCATTTTCACGTTAAGAATTTTTTTTTTCGGTTCACAAAACTGGACACAATTCAGATATAAACTACAAGTATTTCATTTACATAGTGACACGATAAGAATTTTTCCTACTTGGTGTGACCATAACATGCAAAACACGCCAAAACAACTGTATAAGTATCAAAATATTAAATATGTGACAGTAACTCTAAATTTCAAGTATTTTAAGAAAATTATTAATACAAAGATCGAACACTCAGAAAAAATTCCTTCGATCC